TAATTTATTCCGGTTTCCCCTCTTTGTTTTTATTTTTATTTTTGAGACAGAGTTTTGCTCTTCTCACCCAGGCTGGAGTGCAATAGTGTCATCTCTGGTCACTGCAACCTTCACCTCCTGGATTCAAGCAATTCTCCAGCCTCAGCCTCCTAAGTAGCTGGGATTACAGGCACCCACCACCATGCCCGGCTAAATTTTGTATTTTTCGTAGAGATGGGGTTTCACCATGTTGGCCAGGTTGGTCTCAAACTCCCGACCTCGGGTGATCCACCCACCCCGGCCTCCCAAAGCGCTGGGATTAGATGTGTGAGCCACCACGCTTGGCCTGGTTTCCCCTTTTAATAATACAGTGGGATTAGATAGATTCTCCGTGACATCCTGAGCCTTTAATGTAGAAAGGCTGTCATGAAAGTGAAATCACTACATAAGAACAGTGCAAAGAACCAATTAATTCCCACCATCCTCTCCCTGAAGGAAGAATGCCTGCCTGGCAATGGTGAAATGGGGCATTTAAAACATATTTTTTTGGCCGGGCATGGTGGCTCATGCCTGTAATCCCAGCACTTTGGGAGGCCAAGGTGGGTGGATCACAAGGTCAGGAGTTTGAGAATAGCCTGACCCCACATGGTGAATCCCCATCTCTACTAAAAATACAAAAATTAGCTGAGCATGGTGGTGGGTGCCTGTAATCCCAGCTACTCAGGAGGCTGAGGCAGAACTGCTTGAACCCGGGAGGCAGAGGCTGCAGTGAGTCAAGATCGTGTCACTGCACTCCAGCCTGGGAAACAGAGCAAGACTCTGTCTCAAAAACAAAATAAAACAAAAACCAAAAAAAAAGCAAACATTTTTTCAAGCAAGTAAGGACAGGCCCCAAATGTGGACAGATCCTCTTAGTCACATGAGCCTCTTGGGGTCTATTTTCTCTAGGTGAACCAGAGGTTTTAGCTGCTCTGCAAAGTTCTTCATGTCATCAGAGACCACATCCTGCCCAGCAGGTGCTACCACACTTAATTCCACGAGATAGGAGAGTGACAAGGCCTCAGTGCTGTCTGTGTTCCCTGGCACCAGGATGCGGAAAACCTTGTACACCATAATCTTCATGATGCCCTTACGGAACAAATGTCCCTTAGCAACAAACTCATGGTCCATGCGGAAGCCCATTTCCATCAAGAAGTCGGTGAGGTTCTCAGATGTGGCAATGTCCACGCAGTTTCGCACCAGGGCGTGGCGATTCTTGTCTCCCATTTCTGGCTGTCCCAGGTAGCGCAGATGCCAGGGTGCTCCTGCCCTGTCCATAGAGCGTCGGGCCCTGAGAACAAATGGGCTGGCTTGCTGGCCCTTAAGAAGGAATACCATCTCATGGTCAAGGAAAGTCTCAGGTTCCATGTTGTCACACAAACCACGAAGGCGGTGGATGAGGCTTTCCAAACTGTGATCTAAAACACTTCCTGAAAACGGAACAAGCACCACTGAGTCCTATCTTTCATTTTAGGTCATGGAGTTAGCATACAATTGAAAAAACTTAATGAAAAACCAAAACAGTTTAGTGAAGCATTTCATAAAACATAGGGCCAAACATGAGATTTTAGAGAAGTTGCACTACCAAGGTATTGTATAACGTTGTGAGAAAGTTATTTCCCTTTTCAATTTTTTGGAATTTTCTTATTTAACACTACAGTGTCTTTAGGCCTCCTCTAATGCTAATCTCCAGCAGGCCTTGGGCTTAGAGCCTTTAATCAGCAACAGGGTCTATCTAGAATGTAATAATACTGTTTTAATTATGTATTTATTTATTTTGGTAGAGATGGGGTCTTACTATGTTGCCCAGGTTGGTCTTGAACTCCTGGCCTTAAGTCTCCCAAAGTGTTGGGATTACAGGCACAAGCCACCATGCCCAGCCAATAACACTATTTTGTTGTCATATAGTTTAACAATTGCCTTCTATTTCCAACAAATCAAACTTTTCCATTTATAGAAATATAAAGTTTCACCCCCTTTTTCTGAGACG